TATTTCTGCGTAGGTGTAAGGCCGCGTACACGAAATTAGCGACAAGCGGGGCGGTGCGACGAACTCAGCGGGTTGATGTAATCAAAAATATATCACAGTACAACGACGCGTATAACATGAACGGGAGCGAAGTATTACTTTTGTTTATAATACATCGCCACGCTCCGCTGTCGTCGCGCCGCCCCTTTCTTCGCTAATTTCGTGTCGGCAGCCTGACAGTGCCATGTTCTGGAGCTTTGTAATATTTTATTACTTTACCATAGTGCTAAAAGCTCATCTGGAGAATAAAGAAATGACAGATGACAGATGACTCTAGATGCTAGCGTTTTTCCGCTTAGCTTTCAGTTTTTTCTCCCCAATAACACTGTCGTAAAAATTAAATCCTTGTTTCTAGTTTATTAAATAGGCATCATATTTTACACAACTGTGGATATACAGTTACAGTAAGAAATGTCTATTCTGTTAGATTTAATATTAATTTAATTATTTATAATTGCTTCTTTCACGTTTAATTAACAAGAATTAATTAACAAAAATTTTAAAATGACCATGTCGTGTCGTTCAACATTAACCTTTACAAAGTGAATCTTGCTTCTAAATGATTTAATTAATTTAAAAGTCGTTTCAACAATCTCATGTAATGACCGTTATCGACAGAGTAATTAAGTTTCATTTGATGTCCCTCAAATTTCTCTTTCCACAACTATTGTATGTACATATATATCGCGTAAAATCGTTAAAAAAATCAAGTTTCTTTTTCGTTAAAAAATTTATAGTAAAAAAAATATTTTTTACCATCCCTTGGAATGGGAAAACCTTCATGAAAGAATCAAATATTGTAACGACGACATATTTATTTTTATAACAAATCTATACAGTAAGGATAGACGAGAGAAAGTCCTTTCTAGTCGTTACGAAAATTATTATTTATTTGTCATTCATTTACATTTATCGTTTGAATGTATGAAGTTGTTTAATACTTTTCGATTACTTTTAAGAATGGTGCGAGAATGTATTCGTAGTTTTTTCTTAATAAAACTCTATTCTTTAGGAACAGATATAGCTACATATACAAAAAATAATAATCTCCTTTCCCTTTAAGCGATGTCCATCGAAGTGTGAAATCATAATAGGTTCTCTCATCTTTGCCTTTTTAATTTAATGTTACAAGCGTTTGCAAAACTAAGTTATTGAAGTTTTAATTAAAATGTTGCTTCTCAGTTTTCCAATGAAAATATACAATAAAAATAGGACTTACTTCAGGACAAATTGTTGTTTTAATATGTTTAAAAAAGAACGACTGAATGAAAAACTCTGTACCGAATAAACGTAAGTACTTGTAGTAGAAACCTGGAGGTATCATTGTAATGATGTTGTTATGCTATTGTTAACCCTGAAACAATGCTTGTAAACACCAAAAACTTGTAGGGTAGAGTTATTCCAACACAATAAGAGGTCAATGACCTAAACAATTAACTACCGCTTCTGAATAAAATCTATGTATATTGTTAAAGGAACATTTCAATCAGCCAGGTAGAAAATCGTGCGCGTTACAAATAACATTCGAATCACGAGCGACTTGAACATTCCGAGCACGCTTCGATTTACATTTAATTCAATTTAGTGAACACAGAGTAGAATTTTTCATCAGAGCTTCTGGAAAGTGAAGTGAAGTAATACCCATTGGTGTAAACGATGCATGTCGAAGAAACAAGAGAGTTTTTGATACGATCCAAAAGTACTTAGCACCACAGTCTGGACTTTTTTTAGTTAGTAAAATGTCGCAATATAACCTCATTCTTTTTGAAGTCGGCTTAAAATGACACAAGTTTTGGTAGTGTGCGAAATCATGATACCAAAATTCTCAATGGATATAAGAAACGATTACAAATAATCCCGCTTAACTAATGGTTCTAAGTTCGCATAACATAGTTCTAATGTAGCATTTAAGCAATGTTGCTATGTGCCATTAATTAATTATGTAGGCTTCCGAAGAGTAGGGAGTCAAGGAAACCTCTCCATACCCTTTTCTTACAAGGAAAAGAAAACTCATATTAACATAAAATTTTGTTAGACAAACAAAAATAAAAAAAAAGTTCTTCACGGATAGAGGTTTTACGTTATCATATTTACTTGTCTTAGAGCAAGGTCAAGAAAACGAAATAAATATTTTTTTAATTATAATTACTGTATTACGCTTATTCTGTTAAAATCTTTAATATTACAATTATAATGTTAATTTTTTTTAATGATGTCTTTGCTTCAGAAGAATGGCTCTCAGCCTTATTAGTAAGCGAAATATAATCATATTTAGTACTTTTTATGTTTCTTGTTCTATGGGGACACGTTAAGACAGATATTGTGAGTTAAAGTATAAAACTTACCGAACTGTTTGAATTTAAAAAATAAGGCAATCGATTTACATCCCTCCTCAGAGACTGTTTCTTATGATAAAAAAGGTATATTATAAACAAAAGAATAACTACAAGGCAACATCACCTAATTAAACTTCAACAGGCGCTTACATTAGGTGTGTTGTCTATTTTCAAGCAAATGAGATTTTAAAAATTGATAAATGAAAAAAATAACTCGAGGCTTACTTTTGCGAATAACATGAATAATTTAGATTTTGAAATAACGAAAATAAATTAATATTATAAAACATTAAATGTTTATTTGAATAAAAACGAATGCAGACTAAGAATTAAACAAGACAAAAACGAATCATAAATAAATAATTTAAGTAATACACTTTACCCACTCCATTGAATTATGATAGGGGACAATAGTTTGGTATCTGACCTTAAGGTTTTAATACTTTGTCTATTTTCTTTAAGGTCATAAAAATGTCCTAGCTATCTAAATATAGCCTTTAGTATTGACTTAATAACCCACGATTGATTTAGCAATAAAAAGCACCTTAAATATTTGGCTCGTAATTCCTAAGGGATCAATAAACAATTCAAGTAAAGCCACACCAAATGGCTTATAAATCGCTTTAATACAATAAAACGAACACACAAAGGACCGTCAGTAATGCCAATAACAAATATTGATTTGTGAATCAATAAAAAATCTATCCAAATTATGTATTCTCTTAATTGTTATAGAACTAGTATGCCTAGTGAAACTCAATTTGATCCTAACCACAATTTGAATTCCCAACTGATTCTATGAAATGTCTATTTGGTGATTTTTTATCTGGCTTCCAAATGGAGGAGGTTGGTAATTCGTTTATGTTTTTTTTTTAGTTTTGTTACCTCAAAGCTCCGCTCTTGGGCGACCGATTTTGATCATTCTTTTTTTATTCGACAGGTAGTGCGTGTCATGTGGTTTTGTCATGTTTTTTGATCTAAATCTATGGTTAGATGTAGCCATTCTGTAAAATTGGAAGTAGAGCATATTTTTTTCAAACGAAACCTAAAGTCGTAAAGTACTGGTTGTTGTATTTTGTCTTTCAAAATAAATCGGTAGTTTATTATTTCGACCACGATTTAGGAAAATTTTGCTTACAAAAATATAAATGTTACGTGAATAACAAGGTGTTTACGTTTTTTCATTATACTATGTGACGTCAAAGGAATTTGTTACGCGGACATTAATCTTTATTCGTACGAGCGACATGGTTAATTTTACGTTGGGGTAAAAATGAATCATTGTATGTCTAAAAATAAGGAAATGTATAAAAATAACATGTCGTACCAATTAACGCGGGAGTTATTGATAAATACAAAAACATCGATCACATAATTTTACTCATAGATTTATAACATTTGGTAAACAGACTCACGACGTCGTAAGACGTCGACCTTAAAAAAGACTCCCATATCTATGATTTGTCCTTTGTGACTAATTGTTGGTTTGTTCCTTTTATTTTGGACATATCAGAGATTTTTTATACACGGATTTTGGTCTTAGTAACCATAAATCGACCTAAGTGTCAATTAGTTTTTAGCTCTTCATTAATACTTTAAGTATCAGATACATTCGGTACCGTCTGAATTTCACCCTGCGATACAATTCCTTTGTATAATGACATTGGAAAAGTACTGGAGATGTTTCAATTTAAACTACATTGTAAAAACACAAATCATATTGCTCTATTAAAGTGTCCTATATTCAAATCAGTTGAGTCTTTCAAGTTGCAAGTGTCTATGAATATGATAGAAGGTTTGAAATTAGTTTTATGATTGTTATTGATTTTGTTGTGGAATCGAATATATCAGTGGATGAAGACTTATATGTTCTATACCATTTTCAAGCTATCTGATTTTTATATTTACATAAAATGTAAAATTCATGTTAACAATATACGGAAAAAATACGGATTTGCAAACGAACTAAATCACATTACAAACTAATAAGGTTTTTAAAAAGTTTTACAATTTTTTTTTATTAATATTTCCATTGATGTTTCTTTGCACGATAGAGATGTTATGCTCATGCATGAGATTAACTTGAAAACTATTTTCACACTATTATTGTAAATTTGCTAACTTTTTAATACCCAACTATGTAGCAAAGAGGACAACTTTTTTCGCGCGTATTTAAGTTAGTTTTTATGTACGTGGGTTTGTATGTAAGTTAATTCCATTGTGACGGCCTAGAGTTACAACGACTGAACTGATTTTGACGAGCGAGTGTCATTCGATTTATCTACTTCCCCAGAGTGTCGTACAGTATATTACATCGTCACAAAACACATGTGTAGACAAGATTCTACAATATTAGTGAAAAGAACGTGATCAAATCACACTCGCCATTTTTTTATGTTAATTTTTCTTACGATTTATCGTGTATATACTAAATAAAATAAGAATAAAAATATTACAGTATATAAGGTTTAGATGTCGGATTGCCACAATAAATAAAATGGATTAATATACTAATTGTATGTTTAATTTTTTTTTGTTTTTATATTGAGTAATTATGTACACATGACCTCAACGATGTAATTATTTTGATGCTATATAAAGTGGAGTCATTAAAATCTTAATGTAGTTTAAATCGAGTAGTGTTAGGAAGTGAACATTAGGTGAGTCACTGATAATATTTACTTTTACTGCCGTTCCTTAGAAAAGTTTTATCTTACTTTTTACTTCTCACTATTATTACAAATGAAAGTTTAGATGGATGGATGGATGGATGTTTGTTAGAAGTTATTATATCTCCAGAACGGTTAAAGGAATTTCGTTGTAATTTGGTACAGATGTAGTAAATAGTTTAAAAAAAAACATGGGCTACTATGGGAACGACGAAGTCCCGGAGACAGCTATCACATATTTAGTATATCTATTTCCTTGTTTTGTTGAATTAAAAAATTTAATAGTATTCTGATAAAAAAAAAAATATCTGAATTGTTCTCGAAATTTTAGGGAGGATACTTAAAAGTTTTTCAAAATGCATAAAGCAATTTTAGTCTTCTTCCTTTTTTTATTTATCGGCGAAATTTTTACTAATAGCTACTTTATTTTTATCTTTATAATAGAAAATCAACGTTACGCTGTTATAAACATTGATATATCTAGAATATCATGCCGTAATGTTACTAATCTTACTAATATTATAAATGTGAATGTTTGGATGGATGGATATCTGTTTAAAGGTGTCACCGACACGGCTTGACGGATTTTAATAAAATTTGGCACTCATGTAGAACATAGTCTGGAAGTAACGTAGACTAATTATTATGTTTTTTTTTTAAATTCCGTGTGGACAGTGTCACGGGCAACATATCGTTATAAATATTTTTATTAAAGTATGTGTTTAAATAAAAAAAAAATCTTTAATTAACAATGAGCGTTGAGTAGGAACAAAGTTATAAGAGGTAATTATTACTTAAATATAATAAGCAATTACGGAACTATTAGAGAACAACTGTAATTATTTTAATTTAAATGTTTCTAACAATTAAAATTCATCCACTTTAAAAACATTTTTTATGCTAATTTTTGTTAGGTTTATGTTTAATTATAAGTAACGAGGAGTTTTTTTTAGGTTTTTATTACAAGTATGAGAACAAGGTAACATAGAACTTTCCTGCTAAAAAAAATAGTTGTAGGCGTGTTTGTAGGTTTTTTTTTCAACTTTTTTTACTTTTCGCGTCTTTTTGATCTTTTACTTTTAAAATGAAAACTCGTTTCCATCATTTAAAGCTCAAATTTATTGCGATAAAAGCTCTAATCTGCGCCTCGGTCCGGTCGGTCATATGTCCGAATCTCTCCGTTGCAAATAACTTTGCAGTTTGATTGATTTAATGTGACGTTGCAGCATGTTATAGATAGTGTTTTATTTTTATTTAAGTACCATATTCATTTTCAGACATGAAGTTGGTGATTTTGTTAACTGTGTTGGCCGTGGCCTTGGCGCGCCCCGAGGACAGCTTCTATGACGACAAATACGACTCCTTTAACGTTAAGGAACTCACCGGCAACGTTCGGCTATTGAGGGCGTACGTGCTGTGCTTCCAATCAAAAGGAAAATGTACACCCGAGGGAACCGTATTTAAAAGTTAGTGGTATTGATTATATTTTATTGAATAAAATATGATTTATTTGTATTCTTTTAATTAAAAATGCTTAATGTACATAAGCACCAATAGCAACGGGGTACGAACGACCAATCACGTGGTCATGAATTCTAATCCCGTCATTTAACTCTGCATGTGATTCACATCGAAGATAAATAATCGAGCATTCTTAAAATTCCATAATGTAAACAGGTTTTAGACGTTTAAGCTAATATTAAATGACCTTAACTAATTAGTTCTTTGTTACTTTTTAGATCGGATCCCAGAAGCACTTGAGACCGAATGCGGGAAGTGCACGGGGAAACAAAAGATAATGGTCGCCGAAATTTTAAAGGCTATCATAGAACTGCTTCCAGCGGAGTGGGACGAACTGGTCAAGATCTACAAAGAAGAAGGACAAAATCTTAAGGATATTACAGTATTCATCGACAAATATGCACCCAAATAAATTTAGTTCCAAGTATAGATGTCAATTAAATATATAAGTTGAAGAACAAAGAAGTAATTAATTCAACCGATCTCTACTATATTTACCTTCTTAGTTATACATGTTAAGCTTCGACATCTTATATTTTATGTTATTAATAATAGTATTTTAACAACTCCTAAAGGTACTTATATACTTCTCCATCGACCGACTTGAACTCACCCTAAATTAGGTGTGATTAGGTCTATCTCGCTGGGCCAGTACGTTGACTATATACACAATATTATTTTTTACATTCTAAGCACGTATGTGCAGGTTGTAACGCGATCTTAAATTCACGCATGGAAGCATCAATCAACGAAACCTGCTGATTTTAGTGGCTAAACCATTACGCAATACGATGTTATAGAAAGGCATACATAGCACGCGTCGACATTTTTGTCTTCATCGTCAAACCTTTGAAATGATTTGTCAAGTTCATCTGGAGAAAAGTTCCTGCAATTTTCAGGATGGTGGAGGAAATCTATATAGTTGACATGTATTCTTTTTGCCTGTTCTGAGCATATAGCCGCGCGTCGACAATTTACCGTTTTGTATACAGAGCGTGCGGTACGGGAATCTCGCTACAAAACCATACAATGTTATAATACTTCCGACGATTTACGTTGCCATGGATACGACGGCCTTTAGGTCAATAACAATAATAATTATTACATTCGATATTCTTACGCCCTTCGTATACAAGAGTTTGCAATACATTGTATTGTACAGTATAGAAATTCGTACACGAGCAAGTGTCGCCGCCAAATAAGTTTTTGAGTTTCTTTAGAAATTCAAATGCGATATTTCAATTTATTCAGAAACGGTGTAGGTGACAAGAAGAAGTCAACGAATACTTTCCAGTCACGTCCTGGCCACTTCACTTTATCCTCCACAGAGGAATAATCACCACTCCTCAACACTTGCCGTAACTTGAATCAACAAAGTTTATACTGTCTTTAAAGTGCTTTATAATGAGATCGAGTGGCAAAGGACTTGAAACGTTATTTATTTGAAACATTCAGTCATTCTTGGAAATGAAAATAATAAAGTGTAATATAAAATGAGATTCAAATGATGAATTTCTAAATCTAATTACGTCTAATAATATAAAATCAATTCTCGCAGCTTCATAATTCTTAAAATAGTCATATCATATACCAGGGTAGAAATAATTTGAATCGTGGAATTTTAGCACGACAATATCATTTGATATTAAAATGTTGTTCGCTTACGATTTAATATTTTTTTCCACTTCTGTATCGGAGGCATTCACCTCCACATCCTCATCCAATTCCGCTAAGAAGGCCTCCGTTATAAACCTACTCGTATTTAATATTTTTTTGCAACAACATCTGAACCCCACTTTAAATTTCTTCTCCTAGGCTATCAATTATTTTTAAGAAATGTATATTTTTCTAATTAACTAAATCATATTTATTTAAATCGGTGGATTTACTTGGAAATATTCCATATACTATGTTTATCATACATATTTTAGAAGTCACGGTGAATGGGTTAGCAATAAAAAAGTGCAGAATAAAGAAGTGCTATAAAATTTACATAATACGACGCACTTACTTCCGCGCCATTAATTTCTTAATATTTAACGACTATTAATGAAATATTTTTTCAGGTTTTTTTAATTCCTCTTCCAGTTTACTCCTTTTCCAGTTTAACCTTCCAACAAACGAATATAAATGACTCGTTTCATTTATTTGATAAAAATTAGATGTCGCCTGCGACTCCGTCCGCGCGGAATTAAAAAAAAATAATGAGTAGCTTAAGTGCTCTTCCAGACTATGTTCTACATCTCTGCCAAACTTCAATAAGATCTGATGAGCCGTTCGTGAGATACCTTCAGACAAACATCCATTCAAGCATTCACATTTATAATATTAATAAGAAGTAAGATAAGATTACTAAGATTTAAAAAAAATACGAAAACGTTATTTAGAAACGCTGACTCGTTTAGACGTAATACCAGATACATAATACACTAGAGTATAAGAAAGAGCTAGGACAGTACACAGCTCAGTACTACTATTGTACGAATACGCAAACCGAAGTAGAACAGAAACTGTTTTGATACGGTCCTCAAATCTGCCTCACAATTCCGCCCTCCTGTGAAGCTAGCATAATCCTAAGTTTACTTAAATATTGCGCTTATGTCAATTAGTTTTGTCGTTAATGTTGAGCTTAGCACAAACGCCGTCTAATTAAAATACGCTTCTAGAAGTACGCCGAGTAAGGCAACTGTGTTCTTGTCTTAAAAACGCCTTAATCTATTTAATCAGTAAGCAAGAAGACGAAGTAGGAAAGAATAGACAAAATTTCTTAATTAAATGATACAAGCTGTCGCCCGCGACTCTGTCCGCGCCGAGTTAAAAATAACTTATTAAGCAGCCTATATGTTCTTCCAGATTATTTTCTACATCTATGCCAAAATTCAGCGAGATCCATGCAACCGTTTTGGAGATACCTTCAAACAAACATCCATCCTTCTTAACATTCGCATTTATAATATTAGTAAGAAGTGGAAACATACATTTATTTTTTTAATTTCCTTACTTCTTGTATAAAAAAACATGTTAAAAGAAATTGGGCATATTAAAAAAAACGGTAAGTGCCGCTCACAATTGTTTGTCGTTTTTTATACCTTACCTGTAGCTTGTTGGTTCATTACGTCGCAAGTCGCCCTCGGGGTTGACAAAAATATGTGTTTACGTTCGTAAATTTTGCTAAATACACAACGACTTTGGTTATCATGAAATGTACCCCAGTTTTACTTTTCAGGTAAATGTGTAAACGCGTGTTCAATCGAAATTATTTTTAAGGAAACGAGAAAATCGTTCTTCAATTGTTAATCGAACATAAACAGTTTGCAGATCATATTACAAAATCAACTATAGAAATAAATCTTTTATATTATTACTATAGCTTTGGCCTGCGACTCCATCCGCGCATTTATTCGAATTTTTCTCACCTTTTAAACCTACCCTAGACCTCCACGAACATTTCAAGACCAAGATAAGATAAATCCGTTAAGCCGTTCTCGAGTTTTAGCGAGACTAACGAACAGCAATTGATTTTTACATATATAGATAATTATAGAATTATATTTAACACGAATCTCGGTGTCGTAACTGTAAGATAAGATTTATATTCGTCTGCATACATTTCGCATATTCTGTTTCATATTCAAAAGCGGTCAAGAATAAACATATAAATGTATGAAATTTGTAAACATCTTCCAAGATTTATTTATAAATGCAGAATACTGGTATATTAATAATTTTAACTATATATCAATAATTAAAGTGAAAATTCTGTTTCCCTTTTTAATAAAAATTAACAATTCCTCTAATTATGAATTATGGTCTAATTTTGACGAATAGGGAATTCATCATCAGCTCTCTACGACGAACGTCCCCACCGAGGGGATCGAGCCTACCTTAAGTTAGGGTTGATTAGGCCATAGTCAACCACGCCGGTCCACTGCGGGTTAGTCGACTTCACACATATCTTTGAATTTCTTCTCAGATATGTGCAGGTTGCATCACGATGTTTTCCTTAACCGTGAGAATGTCAGATAAATGTACATATGTAAATCGGAAATCGAAAAACACATTGGTACATGGCGGGATTCGAACCGAGGACCTGCAGATTGCAAGTCAAGTGCTTAACCGCTGACCTACCGACGCTCAATAAGGAACTACTAGTATAAATTTATTAAAAATATGTATTTATAAACCTTTTGATTTCTGCTTCATATAAAGATTAAATTTTAATATGGAAATCTAAAAAAGCCAAAGTAAAAACTGACATATTCCAGCTTAAATAAAAATATAATCTCGTGAACAAATATTTCCCTAGTTTCGGATACAAAAGAAAAATAACCTTTTCTGGCTGAAAATAGCAGTAAATCAAACAGTACAAAAGTTATAACTTTTATTTTATCACTCGTCATATCTATAGTACATAAGGTTATTCATTTTCTAACAATACTTAACAAGCAAATATCAAGTTACGTGATCTTTGGTAAATTGTACACCGTGTTCATACTACATTGTTGTTAAGAAGTAAGATTGACAGGCCCTTTTATCCCTGTTGCCTTAGTAACATTTCAGCTATACAAATGATATAATAATAAAGTGTCAGGGTAATAACCTTGTTGTTTAATAAAAATAAAAGGCACAAAAGCACGCACTAAGATAGACAGTAATTGACATAAAGTATTCGAAATAAATGATCCATTGATATTCATCCAAAACTTCTGAAAATTAGTTTACCTTTATACATCTCACGGTTTCGTGCCTCCTATAGCGTAGCATAAAACTCGTAGCGGAATGTTAAATAGCCAACAATCTTTCGTAGTAATTGCAATTCAGTAGAGTTATTTCATTACAACATAATGAATAGTGTTGCTCAGTCATACAGCTTGCTTTGTTAGTTTAAAACTTGAGAGAAAGCTGACGAGAAAGCAATTAAGATGGTAAATCAGTTAAGATTTTGTTTTGTATGTTTTTCTTTAATTTATTTTCATTAGTTACGAATTATTCCAACGAGCATTTGGATTATTCGATTATTTATTTTTAGACTTTGACTGACTTACGCAAGTATTACCGGATTTTTAAATATTATATATATTTTGCCTTGTCTACGAAAGGTCTTAGTCCCTAAAGCCAGTCGCTTGCAACATATTTGTTAAAATCGTCTTTAGAATAGTCGCAGCGATTTTCAATATGGCAGAGCAAATCTATATAGTTGACATGTAGTTGATATGTTTGTACTGATCGACTGTAGTCGACGATTCAGCGATGTTAAAAATAAGATCAGGTAAATTGCAAACATTTATTTTTCCAAATACATTTAGTTTACATTACAGTAAATATTACATTAAATTGTATGTATTTTGTTATATTTGTAATGTAAATAAAAAATAATTACATAAATATTTAATTAAAACATATATGAGATCAAGTTTTTATAACTTTAAAAGTAAATATGTTTATTCATTATATGAAATACAAGCTATTCAATTTTCAATTTGTAAAACATTTTTATACTCAAAGTCCTAGTGTTTATATAGTAAAATTAATTCAAAGTTGAACCTGGATAGGCGACAACCTTCATAAGTCAGTTTCGAAAATATCGCGATCGTTTTGATTTTCGATTATCCAGGTTCGACTGTATTCTAACTAAATTATATAATATCCAATATCACTATCTATACGTTTAAAAAAATTATGAGTACATTATTTATGTTCTCGATTCCACATCAAGGCGTATTAATATATTTATAAATGACATCAATTGTTATAATTACTACAAATGTACTTATTAAATAGAAACAATACATTATACGTATATATTTATACATGTTTTTTAAGCCATATAACGCCCACTGATGGGCATAGGCCTCCCCCAAAGATACCCGCTTCCAGGATGCTCCCGTAACCGTGACCAGATCATCGGATCATTGCGGGAGGCCTTTCCACGCTGCGTCGGCCTGTCCGTGATGGTCATATATTTAACCATAATACAATGCAATCCCATAGTTTAATACAAATAACGTGACAATAACAAACTTATTTGTAACTTGGATACATTCCACACGTGATTAGCTATAAATACGTACCACGTACATAACATTTACAAAAGTTTAAAAAGCACTGACACATTAATATTCGCAAGTTATTTAACGTATTCACAGCAAAAGAAATAAATTCACTTCCCATTTAGGATCGAATATTGTCACTGTCACCACTGTAGTGACTTAACCACACTTTAGTATTTTACGTGGTTAAAAGTTATCACTTCGCCAAAATGGGTAGGAAATAAAAGTCCTCCACTGCTACTTAGTCTTTGCGACAATTGACAGTTTTTAAAGGAAATGTTCGCACACAGCGGGAACATTTGCCTGGCGAACCCGACCTCAAGGCACCGACGTCTTCGCTCTGAAACAATACACATTATAGCATTGATGAAATGTTAAGATCATAAATAAAAAAGGGTCTTGATAGACAGACGGACGGACAACAAAGTGATCCTATAAGGGTTCCGTTTTTTCCCATGAGGTACAGAACCCAAAAAAAGAGTATTTTATAAATATACCAGTGAAATAAAAAATATAAAGAAGGCTGTAGTCGTGTAAGTAATTAATTCGATATAGATTACGATCAGGAAACGTAAGCTATAAATTATTGCCCATGCAAAGTTTACATATATACTTACGTCGACAGGTTACGATGTTGTTCCAGAATTATCTTTTTATCTTTTCGGAGCACCTGTTGGAGTATCAGTTATGAGTGAAACAAAAATTAAAATTAGAAACAAAAAAATAAATTAACTGTTTAGCATAAATATAATCGCTTACAGAAAGGATGAAGTACTGGAAAGGAGAGAGTAACGGGAAACTTACGTGTTTTGGTTGTGGGACTCGGAGTGCGAGGCTGCGGGCGGCAGGAATCGTGCAAGAGGTCGCTGCAGCAGCAGCTGCCGGAACGTCTGCCGGAACTGACGGGACATCGAGCAGTACAGAATAAAGTTGATAGCTCCATTCACCAGCGCCAACATATCCATGATCTCTCCGAATAAATTGTAGCATCGCTTGAAGAAGCAGGGCCCGAGCAAACCGCTCATCAGTCCCATGATGCCTTGAGGAAGTTCTGTGACGAGAAACAGTAACAACACTGCCAGTAACATCTTTGTTGTTCTGTCAGTTCTTTTGTCTGCTTTGTGCTGACGTTTCACCATCTTCTCTGCTGAGGGGCACGCGCTGTAGTTCCTCAAATTCTTCTGATGCTGGTTGGCGCTGTACAAAGCTCCGATAAGCCACAGACTTATAACGGTTAGTATCGAGCAAGGTAACAGTTTGATGATAACTCCGTGCACCCAAAAGTTTATTTGGTACAAAGTGCCCTGACTGTCAGAGTCGACGTGGTACGCGATGTCAGGGTTGCCGTTGACGTCACTCACGTTCTTTGTATGGATATCAAATACCTGACAAATTACAAACATACATTCAATGGTAATTTCAATTGTGTGAAATGTATTTGAATTTGTTTATTCAAAGGTTCGATCAGTCGATCTTGAATGTCTTTGGTATGAGTGAAATGAAGATAAATTTATACTATTTTCCACTGATTGACTAGTCGCACTACACTGACCTTGTGCAACTGCTATTTTTATGACGGGTGATCGCGTTCGCGCCAGTGGAAACAGTTCATATACTGTTCTTAGAAAATATTACCAGGACAGCCTAAGTTTAGTGAAAACCGGGTATAACTGAACATACCATAAATGTCGGAGTACACAATATCGGCGGAAGAATGAAGCTTGTAAGGATTGCGAGGCTGCATCTCCGCTCTGTGCAAAGTATATGGCTTCTGTCGGAGTATCTAAAATTAATTTCACATTAGAGTACACATACATATATGTATCAAAGGCTAAAATTAATCAAGGCAGCCATAAAGTTTGTAATTAACAATTTTTTTTAATTATACATTTCGTAAATTTCATTTCAATTTTAATAATTTCAATTCAAAGCGTGTCTGCGTAATTTGCTTAAGCTATTATTGGGGTTAAAATAAAATACATATCGCACGTTAACCACTTAACATCATAAAAGTAAAGGTTCATAGGTTATGTTAACATACGCGATTTAAAAGGTACAGAGATACTATAGACCATGCATGCTGGAGATTATCATTTTATTTCTATTAACATTAACCACCTTTCTTTTAACCGTAACCGTTCAAAGTACTCTAACCTACACTTTTCCTTTTCGTACTAAGCTTAGTAAACTTCGAAGAAACTAGTAATACTTACTTAATGGCGACATATCTCCATATGGCCAGAGCGAGTGTGAGACAGATAGACGCCGTATGTAGGATTTGAGCAAAGTGCATATGAAATAGTAGGTACATCGCCCAAGAATATGGAAAATCTAATTTTTCGGGCAAAACCTAAAAACAAGTCAAGTTATAAAAGAAAACTTCTGCTTTTGTTTCTAAAAGATATAGAATTTACCAAATATATAAGTTTCCAAAAATAATTGTACAAAGTCTTTGGAATAAGTTATTTCGTTTGTTGTTTTGATACATTTTCAATTACTTCTGTCTAATTTTAATTAACTTTGTATAATTTCTTGTATTTCATTTTATACAAACTTTGATCTTTGGGCATTCTTGCGGACCATTAAATAAGCAATACCGTAAAATGTTATCAGTGTATGACTCTTTTCAAATTAAAATTTAGGTTGAAAAATATTAAAAAACTAACTGTCGCCCGCGCCTCCGTCCGCGCGTTATGAAAAAAAAACAATTAGTTCCCGGCAATTATTCGAATTATTCTCGCCTTTTAAACCTTCCCTAGACCTCTACAAACGTTTCATTACCAAGATAAGATAAATCCGTTCAGTCGTTCTCGAATTTTAGCGAGACTAACGATCAGCAATTGATTTTTTATATATATATATATATATATATATATATATATATATATATATATATATATATATATATATATATATATATATATATATATATATATATATATATATATATATATAATAAATATTCTTTAAGTTTAAAAAAAAGTGATGTCTTACTAAGTATTTATATATCGAGAAAGGTACATATTCGACCATCACAAAAACATCAGCAACAGCAAGCCATTTCAGTAGACGGTTGATTGGTGCAGCAGCCATATCCTTCCTAGTGAGTACAGCAATATTCATAGAGTTTGCCAGAACACCAATAGTACACACCTGTAACAATAATAAAAGAATAAAGTCAAAGTCGTAACCAAGAACCAAGAAAGAGATTATACCATACCATCCCGTCCGCACGGTATTGAAAAAAAAAACATAATTAATAGCCTTTGTGTTCTTCCTGACTATGTATGCCAAATTTCATCGAGATCTGTTAAGCCGTTCTGCAGATACCTTCAAACAAACATCCATCCATTCATCTATCCAAGCATTCGCATTTATAATATTAGTATGAAGTATGATAATATTTATACGGTTGAACGGACTTTCCCAAGAACGTTACAATATTTATAATATTTATAAGACAAACTTAATATAAAATGCAAAACCCTCAATATAATATTATGCTTCTTCAACGTTGAACGGAACGCAACTTTTAATTCAAAAAAAGACGGTACTTCGTAGGTAAAAGCATAAGACTGTCATATGACTAGTTTTCCCGCGAGAATTGTTCCCTAACACAGAAATTAAATATGTGTGTTAAAAATCGTAAATAAGTTGAAATATGTGTTAATTCAATTGCACTTTTTAATATTTCATTGTTAGACAGTTCAATATTTGTTTGGAGTATTCATAGTGTAGTGTCAATTAGCATAGTTTGAATAAATTTGACAACCATTTAAAAGTGTAACAAAGAGTAATTTAAATTCGACAATAAAAATGAATGCAAATTAAAAAGTGATTCGATTTTACCAAAGTTGAATGACCTCAATCACTTAGTGGACAAAAATACACCTTAAAGTTATCTCAAAAGTGAATGAAAGTAGAACTTCTTTATAACAGTGGCACCATAAATAGGAACCATCTAAGAATTGTAAGTATTGTAAATATTGTTAATACTTAAGTTCTTTTGTTATTTAAATGAAAACTTGTAAACTTTATATTATGAGTATTTAATAATCATCGTCGTCAACCAGTATAACTATTTTAACAACTGCCAATATTTTGGGCATGCATTTTTGTATTTATATTGTAAATTTAATAATTATTACCTTATTATGTTTACTTGTTTCTTTCTTGTACACAATATTAAATGATTTAATATTTTATGCTCTAACTAAATTTAGGTGTCGCGGCATAAATTATTATTGACATATTTATGAAACAAATTAGTGAGTCGCGAGGCGTGAAACGCTTTTACGTCAATTTGATTTTTTCGCAACGTTGGTTCGTATATAAATCTTTATTATTATATCGAACAATGTTTTCGGTTCTACTAAATGCTTTATTATGAAAACTAATAGAGATTATGTGAATATTGAAGAATGCTCTTAAACTAAAGGGAAATTGTTAACATCTATTGTCTGAGACTTACCGTCACGTTTATTTGCATTGTTAAAGGTTTTTTTATTCCTTTACTGACACGTAATTTTTAAGAAAATGCTTTACAATAGCGAATCGTGGCATTTCATAATATTATATATATATATATATATATATATATATATATGACATAACATAAATAGGAGCTGAAGAGAATAAAGGCGCGTATTTTAAGATCTACTAATTCGATTTTATTCCAATAAAATTGCATTTGACAGTTCAATTATAAAGTTTACTTAACCTAAGTAATAAGATGTTTGAAACTGAGCCATGCGGAAAGTAGGATAAAGCTATGAGCACAGCTACTGTAAATGTAAGAAAATGGTTTTTACTTTGGTAACTGAAGTCGTATATTTTTAGAAAAAAACTTGATCAATATCGTAGTTCATACCACACTTTATAATCTTGCTTTTCCCCGCGACTTTATTATCGTGAGATTAAAAAGTAGCCTTGCTTAGTCCTGTATACATCAATTACCAGTTGTATCGTGGGCGCGTTTGCGCTGGTGTGTGGCTTGTGGACAGACACATCAAAATAAAAAAAAATAGTTTTTCGTTTAAGTAAAGCGAATACTTATGTGCTTCAAATTTATAAACTGTATAGATAGATATTTAACTTTAAACTTTCATAGTTTTCAAATAATTCGTAAGAAACAGGATTTACACAAAAATTAAGCTGTTTGAGGTTGACTGCAGTTAGTCAAAGCGTAATCAAAGCGCATGGAAGTGTAACAAAATATCAGGAGCTCAAACAGCTTAAGCGTGTGATTGACATAGATAAGTAGATATGTACTCACCAATAAACTGACGTATCCGTGAATTCCATTGTATGTTTCTATTACATGCCTGAAGTCACCATCGCAGTAGCCACAGGGGTCGGGTTTGATGCTGAGGTTCAGTTTGCTCTGTGCATCACTCACAACTTTCACTAGAATCGAACCCAAGTTATTACCCTGCCCTTTGGTAGCCTGCTCACGTAATACTGACAAGATCTTGGTCTCATTAATACTCTGGCTATCCGAAGAGTTGCCGGATGCGGCCAGTATCTCTTGAAATATATTATAAAGGATCTGCGATTTGTTCGTCATTTTTTATTTTTAATAATGTTGTTGAAATAAGTTGTAAGTGATTCAGCCCATCCCCATTGTTAATTTTACTTGTCCTAAATCTGGAACAATAGAAAAAGACTATATTGTATGCAGTGGTTAAAGAATTAGCGACTACTATAGTGGAGAAATTTTTTATTTAAAGAATGAATGTGGAAATAACGTAATACAATGTGCATCTGTGTGCTTATTACCATTATTAATTTTGAGGTAACATTATGTTTGATATATATTCTTGTCGGAACTAAATAACGCATCATCGATTACACATAAGTATACTGATATTGGATTGTATTTCGGAGAACTTAATACATTCAGAATGATCTGTACTTGAACAGTGAAGTGTTTGGATGCACCGAAGCGCAGCAATCATATTGAATTCAATCAATTTATCCGAATTTAACCTAATATTATGGTAGCGTGAACGCGTGATATAAATTCCAATAACGTTAAATATTAAGGAATAAAAAAACAAGTGGAATTGGACAGGACACATTATTAGGACAAAGAAAAGAAAATGGACTAAAGACATCATGGATTGGTATCCCAGAGAAGGGAAACGGCAAAGAGGACGACAAATTAAAAGATGGGAAGACGACTGACCAAAGGGATGGCGAAGATTAGCGCGCGATAGAGTGGTGTGGAAGAGACTAGGGGAGACCTATGTCGAGGTACAACCTGACACGCAACTGGATGCTGTTAATAATATTAATATTATTAGAAAATACGTTTGTTAATATTGTAATACTACATTTAATATTGTCAGTGAACAAAGGCTTCATCTATCTATCTAACGTTAAATAAGATGTTTCTGGTACGAATTGTTTCCATTTCATAAAACCTTTACGTCCCTTAGACATTGTTCGTGGTACCGAATAAGTTTTATTATTGTTGTAATTCTATGTGTTGTGCTTAAAATGGCTATTTATGGAGGAAAATCCCCATAACAATGAGCGACTTTAATGAATAGATTTAGAAATGGTGGGTTTCATCTTACATATGCCTATTATTCTTTTTTTAAAAATAAGATGTTTATAGACGAAACAATAGAAAATGACACTTTGTAAAATATTAAATTTCTAATTAATATTTTCGTTCCCGTTTCATTTTGTGAATTATCAATTTAAACGTTTCGGGTCAAGGGTCGTCGTTTAACTCATTCTAAAATCAATTAAATGTCCCTAAAATGGAGTAGGAATCGAATTTACGATTTACCTACTCAAAGTTAGGAGCCCACTTAAAGGGTATTTCCGATGTCTATTTCCAACAAATATTCCCTAACATATAACACTAATTGGACTTTAAAGGACCAATATTAATGGTTTCTTACGTATAGGAGTGGAACTGCTGCTTAAGTCTTTTTCCAATTATTACCAAAAGGGGTTTATTCTACTTCGAAAATAAATTATCAGGTATCTTCAGAACAGTTCAACGGATCTTAATAAAATTTGGCATAAGTGTAGGCCGTAGTCTGAAAGTACATATAGGCTACTTTTTAAGCTTTTTTTAAGCCCGCGCGGACGGAGTAGCTGGCGACAGCTAGCTATGATATAAAAAGCAGTTCCGTCACCTTGAACCTGCTCTACTAAAAATTTTGATGTTTTTACTTCGGACAATTTCTGAAGTAGCAATCGATATTAAGTTCTAATAATGAATAAAGACCCTTATTATTGCTTAACTGTATTTAAACCCTGTGTGACAGGTTATATTCATGTTTAATTAGGGAATAATTGTTTGCTAACATAATATGACGACGCTCTATGACCTGTTTGTGCTACCAGAGTCTCAAACTTAAGGGTATGAATTTGCGTTGGACACTTGAATGAACGTAACCGTCAGACGTAGGTTTAGAAACAAGAATACTATAATAGTCACTAATAACCTTATCGTCTTTATTTACAAGATTTCCGCAACCTTACTATTTCAGATAGCTCTATCTTGTAGCAGTAAGTAGTAAGATTTCTAAGCATTTCAATATGTGCTAAGTATATTTACCGGGGTTCAAAAGCTTAGAAATGCTTGAAAATTATTAGACAGACTGAATAGAAATTATATATGTGTATATTGGATAGCTGCTTTTATGTTTGTCACTAAACCACTGGACACATTTATTTAGAACTTTGGTAGGACAATTGAAAGGATTTGTAACCTACAAAGACGAAATAGAAATGTTTTTCACATTAAATAATATTTTGTACATTATTTTTATTTTTACGCTTTTGATATATAGGTACATATGAAATACCACTTTATAAATAAAAGTACTAATCCTTTTAAAACACGTTAATGTTATTACAAGACGCTACAAAAAGATATACGTTTGTAAAGCGAAGTAAAAGTAGATTCGAAATAAAAACATACTTAGTTTTCGCAACTTATTTTTTTTGCTGTCTGAAATAATAATAAAGAATCCTTCAAATCGTTCAAAGGTTTTTGTTAAATGTGTACCAGAAATAGATTAAATATTTCCATTACTGTATCGAAATACACACTTACCAGGAACTCTGTTTAATAAACTTTATTTAAGCTTTTATAAAGGTAACAATGGAATGTTTAACAACATTTTCTTTGATCACAAATCCTTGTGATATAAGCAGTTTTTTTTATAACAAAGACGAGGGAAATGCTAAAGAAGTATTAGCTTACAGAAAACTGAAATGATAATACTCTTGCCTTTTTTACCTGACTGATATGAGGGTAAATGTTTTCGTATGTATAGATTTTGTGATTAGCGGCCGATGGGTCCAACTAGAAATATTCTTACCAAAGATTTTTTTGCTATAAACAACAAACAACATTAAAACATTATACATCGGTTTCTAGTTAAATTATACGACTTAGATATGTTGTTATTTTGAATGAAATTCTCATTTATAAATGCTGATTAAATCGAATCGAGTGGAATGGAAAACGTGAAATTCGATTTGCAAAACGTATAGCCAGCAGAAAATATTTAGTTCTAAAAATATTGACTTTGTACCATAACTAAATTTTAGAAGAATTTAAATTGGAATAAAATATAACATCCTATACTTTTAAGGCCGATCGATAGTGCTAATGATGAGAATAACTATGATGATAATGATGATATATAAATGTGATGAGAATAAATATATGTAACAAACATAATGAATTAAAAAAAAACATGTGAAATATTGTAACTTAATACTTTAACTTTCAAAATTAAGCCAACGGAATAAGGAATACACATATGATTAATAAAATTTCATGTTTTAGCTTATTTCGTACTTAAAACTTAATCTTAAAATGAAATAAACTTATATCAAAAGCATTCATAAGTTGTAAGTTACGAAGTTGTAATTTGGTAGAACTTTTACAAAAGTAAGAAACATTTTCTACATACCAAAAGAATTACACTCCAAAATTCAGTCACTTTATCTCACTTAGATTTTATTAAAAAAATAAATTGTTATTAAAATTTAATTCGAAATATTGTTACTATAACTTATAATCAGAATATATTTGATATAATCGCGAGTTTGGTGAAGTCGACCACTTAGTCGGGGAACACGATCGCAACTGAAACAAGGACGGAAAGGGACAATCGTACGGATACCATTTAGTCATACTATTCCAGGACAGTTTTATCAATATCCTTTAAATGATTTACAATGTTAATAATTTAGTTTCCATTGTTTTAGGTAGTCGTGCATATATGAATGGTACTTTATCGAGAAAAATACTGTGACCACATATTTATGTGATATGATTATTTTTTAAACATATTGTAAATAGGAAATATTTAATTTATAACATTTGTTTAACAATCCTTTATACTATAATATACTAATAAACGTAAATAGTTTAAACAATTTTTCAGGAAATCTCTCAAATTTAGTGGATCTGGAGTTACCAGTTACAATGCTCTCGGTTTTGTCACATCTGATAAAAGCCAACAAGGTGCAAGAAAATGTTTCCCGACATCGTCTCGCCGTTGTTTTATACGCTATACTTCTACTTTTACACTTTGTGACAAAACCAAGTAATTACTATAATTATTTACTCAAAACATTCTGTTGCTCATGATTTCGTCCGACTAGAATAAAAAACAGAGTTAGCCAATATGCTTTTCTAGTCTCTAACGCGTCGCTGCTTCTAATGTTATCCAGATATTTGCAGAAGTTCTTAACTGGTAACTAACATCCATACATTCCTTTCACCTTTGTAACATTAGTAAGGTTGAGTATGGTTACAGTGAATTTGACCTCAACCAGGTCAGTTATTTGTAGGTCCAGTAATTAAGTATATCAGATAATTTGTTAGTAACATGACTCGTCGTACTATTAGCTAACATGAAATTTTCAGGTAGGAGTCTACGTCTATTCCTAAAGGAAAAAGGTGATTATTAATTTGTTGACAAATATTTCTATTTATTACTTGCTTTATTTATGTTATTATTTACCAACTAGCGCGAGTAACAAGCTAATTTAAATTGTATGTTACATGTGTACAATCAGGGCCATTCGCGGTGTTCCACTTACAGAAAAGTTGCTTTGTCTTTTGCAACATGACAAAATTCACCTATTCTTACAAAATAACCAATTAGATTGTGATAATAAAAGGATATTAGTCGCAAATCACTGACCGACCTGTTTACGTACACGTACACGTACACTCTTAAAGGCTGCGTTCTATTGGTTATAATTTCCGCGTCGTGGTCTCAATACTAATGATACGTTCCAACAACAGTCGCTTTGAGGTAACGAAGTTAGATTACCACCTGATTCCCTGATAGTACTTTACAAATGCTTGTATCGCGATATACTCATTTTAATAATCTCATGATTAAGCACAAAATATGGTAAAATTAGTTTGGAGTTCGCGTAATCGACATATGTTTGCGTTAACATCTTATTAATCCTTTTTAATTAAATATTATACTTAGTGATAAGAATGCAAGCACGTAATCCTACATAGTCTTTTATAAAAGTTATTTTGTTTGTAATTCTCAATATTTATAAATACTAAAGATTTTTAGTTTATAATAAAGCTGAAAACTAAAATATTCCGTGTACGTCTGATTTTGCTATTTTTATTACGAGAATTGCGACTGCGAATACATTGAGAATGAAATGTTTAAAATTGACATTTCATTCTCAATACAGATGTAACAAAATATTCTGATCTGTTTCTTTTTCCGTAAAATCATTTTTTGTTTGCATCATTTGGTTTTTAAAACAAAATAAAATAATAATGATGTGTATTTTTTACTTGCAGCTCACAATTTTATATGTTATAGCTGTCGCCCGCGACTCTGTCCGCGAGGAATTAAAAGCAAACTATGCCAAATTTCTGCAAGATCCATGCAACCCTTACGCACATACGTTCAAACATACATCCATCCATCCAAACATTCGTATTTTTAATTTTAGTAAGATGTCAAACATCGACTAGCTATGGTGTATAATCTGGTAAAAAATTGTCCCCACTATAAAACGTAACGCACAATTTGGATTCATTAGCATACTTGTACGATATTTCGTATCAATTAGAGTGCAACGACATTGTCGTGGCTATCGGTTCATAAACACGAAAATAATAATCGTTTTTTTCCATGAATTTATTTTACACCTGTATCGTAAAACATGTGATAGCAACGCTCGTGTGCCCACTACAGTCGCAAGCCCTTCAGATAACACATTATTGCTTGATGTTACTCTTATAATAAAGGTATGGTACCTTTACAATACAATTGGGGTAAACAGAGATCGTTTGTTAGGCTTAATATTATGTTTCTGTGTAAAAGAAGAAATAGTAAGGCACTCAAATTGTACCACTAGTGTGAATAAAAATTCAAACTAATGACTGGCTGTTACTTTGGCCTTTTGGTTAAGGTGTTAGTTTTTACTAAAAAATAAAAATGTTCAAAATTTTTGGCAAAATATTCAACGAACAACAAAATAAACATTGCATTTTGTAGAATAATACGAGTATTATCAATACAAAGACAAGGAAGCTACTTTTGTTTGTCTGATATATTGTTAAAATTCGCAGTTATGTAATGGTTTGTTTGTGATTTTTATGCATACGACTTCCATATACATATAAATTGTTACGTAATTTAACCTAAATTAATATTTTCCGTCATATTCATAGGGGTTCAGTCAGACAGACTTTTTGATTTCTTAATTTGTTCGTAACTAAGCTGAGCGGATATAAGTTGATAATGAGTCTCATATAAAATCTCTATTAAGTGAGGATTTTTTTATCCTTACATTTATTAGAACGGCGACTGGAACTTTAACAAATAATAATTAGATGAGAGCTTGATAAAATTCTCACGACTTTTCTTCTCATCTTTCTCAGGAATTTTCAATCATTTGAAACATAAAATTAGTATTAAGTGGAACGTAGTGTTGGCGATTATATGTACATACAGCTGCATGTTTGCGCATTGTAACAAAGGAGTTCAGGTGAACATTTTCAGGCAAACTGCCAAAATATACCCAGCTTCAGGGTATTTGGATCCAAAAGCATTCCACTGCAAGATCAATAGAACTTCGAATTCTAAGTAACGTAAAGCAAAATTAGTTGTTTAGGTTGTTTGTTGTCATATTTACTAACGCAATTAATTTAATTTCATGTTTTTAAAAACTAGCTGTCACCCACAAGTACGATTTAAATTTAAAAAAAAAACTAAATAAGTAGTCTGCAGCCGTTCTGGAGATAACTTCGAACAATCATCCATCCATCTATACATCCAAACATTCGCATATATAATATCAGTAAGATAGCATTCTATTTTTGAATCTAATGAAATGATTATGGATACACTTTACAATAGCTTTATCAAAGCTGGTATTGTATATTAAACAAAGCCAAGCGCCGTTGGTGGATACGGTTCAACAGCCAGACATGAGAGGCATTACAAGCTCTCAATTTACACAACGTATATCACATTTCCACAAAAACAATACTATAATTATAATGAATGGTTATATAATATAATGTATACTAAAAACATTAAAATAGTTAGTCTGCATTCAAACTTGAAGGACATATTTTAGTCTCTTTTTTGTCAAAGAGGACGATATTGTAAGGGTCGACGATATGTCCAATTTAACATATACATTTGACCTAAAGAAATCAAAATAATAAGTTCTGATAGAAATTTCGCGTAAATCACTGCCTGTTAGTACCCATTTATTATTCACATCTAAGCGATGGCCAATAAATATATATAATAACAAATAGTTTTTTTCGTACGTTTTTAAATAGTTTTATACTATCCAAATATACACATAGATTTAAAAATACATTTATATTAAAAATTTACTTAGTAATTCAAATGTACTTAGTTGAATTGTTTAGCAGCCTGATGCAAGGAAAGAAAAATTGTAGAAATTAGATTTACTATATACTATATAAACTTTCAAAATTACCTGAAAATAAACATATATATTATACTTTGTAAATTTTGACAATATTCATGAGGATGAAGTTGCTGGTTGGTGATGGCAGTGAGTCTTGAAATAAAGAAATACATTTGAAGGAATAGGTATAAAGTGGTTACTTCGAATTCATTTAAAGGTTGTATTACCTGGAAAATGTATTTATATAAATTAGGGAGCGAATTCCCAGCGTCTAGACTCAGAAGACGGGAGTACGTGCAATTCTAACTAAAGAGATTTAATTTGAATTCCTAACATGTTATAAATCAAATTATTCTCACGTCTATAAAAATTTATCGTGAAGCACAAATTGAGGATTACTTTACTTATTTAAGTTACACATTCAAATTCAGATCGACGGTTTTGATGGAATTAGTAACTAAGTTGTAAATCTCTTTTTTTGAAAAAAAAAAGAATATACAGACGAATTGATAACCTCCTCCTTCTTTTTGAAGTGGGCTAAAAATAACGATAACTATGTTTATTATAAAGATAAATTTATATACATCGCGTTTATGAAATATGAGCTTTTGAAGCTTCTAAACAATTATAGCGTAGGTAATTTAATTCAGTAAATGGATTGGTTAATCAGGAATACTTTAGTATTAGTAAGCGCCATATAACTTTAGTATAAGTAAAATTAAATTACAATTTGTTACAAATACCCTACGCTGTCATCTTTATTCCATTTAAATCCTCAATGTAGATGTTAGTAGAAGAGGAATTATGTAAGTAGGTTAACATTATCATGCGTAATTCTATTTATTTCGTCGAAATTCTTTTTTTGCAGTGTACAAAGCTGTCAAAACGTTTTAGAACCGTTCTTTGACAACGTTTCGAACGCTTAACAAGGTTTTGAAGGCAAAATAAGGTTTTGATTTTACTTCCATTACTTTAACTAGCTGTCGCCAGCGACTCCGTCCGCGCGGAATTAAAAAAAATAATAGCCTATGTGTTCTTACCTACTATGTTTTATATGTATGCCAAAATTCATCGAGATCCATTCAGCCGTTCTGGAGATACCTTCGAACAAACAAACATACATCCATCAAACATTCGCATGTATAATATTGGTAAGACAAAACTAAAAACTATTCTTATGTAAAACGTTTT